CCGCGCCCTCTCCGGCCGGCTGGCGGTCACGTCAGGTCACGTGGGGCCGGTGGGCGGGAGTTTGGCTGTTCCGGAAGCTCAGGCTCCACAGTCGAGAGAGGAGGTGGGAGAAGAGGGCTCAACTGCTTTGTGGAAGGAGGGGTACATGGATGGGACTGGACTGGGAGTCCGAGCCGTGAGTCTGCGCAGTGGAGTCGGACCGGGTGGCACTGCGCACTGAGGTGGGCGCTGCCCGCAGTGCGGGAGTAGGCTCAGGTCACCGCCCTGGGGGTTCAGCTGGGGCAAATTTTCCATCAAAACGAAGGCTTAAATGAGAACCAAGACCTGTCATGTAAAGGTACAAGATCCCAATGATGAATGTAACTGTACTGTATACCTAAGTAGCTCCTCAGTTCTGAAATGCATCTTAAAGAAACTGGTGCCGATGGTGACCACATTTTCAAAAATAAAGAGCAAAAGTTGTTCTTTATAATTTCCATGTTATTTTATTCTGTCTCTTTATGAATATTACTGGTTGTCCCCGCAGTGATTAACAGCTGGACCTTTAAATAAAAAAGGCTTTAATAATTGTCATCAGGTATGGCAGTGGACTGGGGAAGCTACTACATGTCATATTCCACACCCAAACTTGGGAAAAACTCATAAAATGAAAAGTTTTAGTAGCTAGTGAGCAAAGTAAGGCAAGTGTCTGAGACCTTTAATCGGAGGAGTGTGCAGTAAAAAGTCCACGTGATTCACAAAAGTATAAAACCCTAACAACAACAACAAAAGCCCAGCTAAGTGGCACGTGGCTTTCATCGCATCACTTCGGAGGCTGGGGCAGAAAGATCGTGCAAATTCGAGGCCAGCCTGGGCTCCATATCTAGTTTTGGACAATCGGAACTGCATAACGAGGCCCTTCAACCCCCACAGAAAAAAGTTTTAAGCACTGGAAAATCAATAAGTAGTTTTACATCCCAGCTCTACCAGTGTATAGTTGTAAGAACGTGAGTTCGTCTAAGCTCAAAAGTATACTTCAAAAATATAAAGGAAGGGCTGGGGGTTTGGCTCAGTGGTTCTGCCGCCTGCCTCCTAAGCACTAAGGGCCTGAGTTAGATCCCCAATACCAAGGGAAAAACGAAATGAAGCCAGGTGTAGTAGTACTCACCTGTAGGAAGATCTCTGTGAGTTCGAGGCTAGCCTGAACTGCACAGCGGGACCCTGATCCAAAAAAACAAAAATATAAATGAAGTAAGTGAAAGAAATAGATAACCTAACTAGCTTCTTAGCATTAAATCCAGCATGTCCCATTTTCCTACATTGCCTGGGCGTGTAGACTCGAGAATGTAGGAAGAGACAAGAGAAAAGCATCTTTCAAGAAACCTTCCGCCATAATCCTTTATCTGAAACCTTTATAGGCAGATGTTTTAAATTCAAAATTTTGCCAAAAAATTACAGAGCATATGTTGCATATAAGTAACCACCTGCAGAGTTTTAAATGTGCTGCTATTTTGCAGTGAAACATGGTTTTCAGTTTAAGTGGGATAAAGACTTATAGACAGTTAAGTTTGCATTGAATTCAGTTGTTTTCCTAACCTCAAGAAAATATTTTCAGCTAGGTATGGTGGTACATGCCCAGAATGCCTGCACTCTGGGAGGCTAAGGCAGGAAGATCACAAGTTGGAGCCCAGCCCAGGGAACTTTTAAGACCCTACTTCAAAATTTTTAAAAGGGCTGAGGGTGTAGCTTAGTGTGAAGGATGTAGGTTCAGTCACCAGTACCAAAAAAAAA